AAATATACTTGGGGGGTTCGTGGTAGCGGGGGGTTAATATTTATCATTATTTTTTTTTTAAATGGTAAATGTATTTAGGAACCTATTCATGTGATTTTAAGTGGGGGTGGACCTCAAATCCTCTAGAGGGGTCTGGGTTCATGCTCCCCCGGTAAGATTTTTATTTTTATTTTATTTTGGAGTTAAATGCATCCATCTGGTGCATTTTGAGGGGAAAATAAAGAGACTAAATCTATGGGAACACCTATATGAAACAGAACTGTATACATTTCAATAATCATAAAGCGTATCTTACCTTTTTTCCCCTAGTTAACTTTTTATTTTTATTCATGCATATTTTACTAATCACTCCCCCCACAAATGGAAATACTGTATGTGTTTACATAAATGGTGACCAAACCATTTGAGACCCACTGAGAACTTAGACTAAGTTAACTATCTAAACACTCAGAGAGTCCTTTACCTCACCTGAGCTGAGGTTATCCTGAGCTTGAATGACACACAGAGACCAATCAAGGGCTTTGATTTATGATCTGTATAACAGTGGCCATGTCGGCTGGCCACATCATGTAGACAGCCAGTCACCCCTCGGGAAACCCCCCGGTCTTCCCGATTGCCAGTTCGGGACTGGGTAGAGGAGGTGTAGAGCGAGGGATAATTGTCCACAAGTTAATCGATCGCAGGTGGCGTCTTGGTCGCGGACAAAAAAAATATATATATATTATAAAAAAAACGTAATGGGTCGCGAAATATACTTGGGCGGCCGTTAATATACCTGGGCGACCCGCCCAAGTATAGTCTATGTGTGGGAAACCCTGATATATATATATATATATGTTCTTCTACCACACTACAATTCAGAGGTAAATAGTGTACTTTTACTCCACTGCATTTATTTGATATCTTTAGTTACTTTACAGATTTGGATTGATGATGATGATGATGATGATGATGATGATGATGATGATGATGATGATGATGATGATGATGATGATGATGATGTGAAATATAATCAAGTCTTAAATCAAACTTTAGTTCCACCTGGAGTAAATTCACACTTTAATGATCAATCATCATAATACCAATATTATATATATTGTTCTGAAATTGACCAATCTGTATAATGAGTACTTTTACTTTTGGTACTTTAAGTATATTTTGATGCTAATACTTCTGTACTTTTACTTGAGTAACATTTTGAATGCAGGACTTTTACTTGTAACCTGTTTTCCTACAATCTGGTACTTCTACTTTTACTCAAGTACAAACTCTGAGTACTTCTCCAAGCTCTGGATGCTCGGCACTTAGTGGTTGCAAAGACTTGAAAAGCGCTATATAAATGCAGTCCATAATCTTCATTTCTCTTTCCAGGTTTTGGAATCACCTCCACATTCTGGGACCACCCGTTCAACACATTGATTCCCGATGAGAAATTCTAACAGAGAAAGGGCTCTCCTGAAGGGCCACAGGACTTAGCACCCAGCCCCCATGCTACATTCAGCCTTAGTCCAATCTCTGCACCCATACTTTTCAGAACCAAGGAGGAAGTTCTTCTTCTGAGGACTCCTGCGTCTCCACAACTACTCCACAGATCCATTCTGTATCACATATCATCCTGCTTTTTGTTTCCATTTTGCTACACCTTTGTGAAGACCAGTTTGCAATCTTTCTGCACGGTTATCATTCCTTTCTGTGCCATTTATTGTACAACCCAACCAACATCTACTACTGCTGTGCTGTGCTCTTCTCCACATAACCATTCACAATTATGTACAGCTAGGTGTTATACCATGGATAAAAAGGGAGGAACACACGAAAAATCAAAAGACACACGTCGGTGTGCTTCTATGTAATTTCACTGTTGCATTTTCATTGCATGTTTAGGGAATTACATCCTGTAATGCTTTAGAAAACACTGAAGAAACCAAACAAATATTCACAACACACTCTTCCTGGTTCCTAAAAAATATCGCTAACAGCATAACGCAAATTAATGCGGACCCATTTGTGTGAAAATGTTCACACACAGAAAGCGCACACAAACGTCCCTCAGAGGAGGACAGAGGGAAAAGTGATAGATGGTTGGTGAATTTGGAAGACGGGGAAGGGAAATGATGTGACAATAAATGTGTGTAGGGACTAAATGACTGGTGAACTTACATTGAAATCCTTCCTCCCCACTATCTGCAGCCTAAAAATACTCGTCTACATTATGTTCTGTCTGCCATTAAGCTGCAAGGCCTCGCTGCTATCACTCTGTTAGACTGCAGGTTTGTAACAATCAACATAAGCTCCTCCCAACATGCTTTTCCTCAATGTTGTTTTTGGTTTCAGATTTAATTTGGCAGTTTAGACTTAATTTATTAACTATAACCAAAGCTGCATAAGTGAAATGCTACTGTAGGGCACTCATGCAATGCACCATTAATGTAAAGCAGAGTCCTTAATATCTGAAACCACTGTGGAGATATATTTTTGCATGTCCTTTGTAATATTCCCTCTGTTTCCTTTCTGTTTTGTCATTATTGATTACGCAACAATGTTAAAAAAATACTTGCTTTGTACATAATTGCACCAGCTTTACGTAGTCAGAGGATGTTAAAATGTGTCAGAGGGGCAGAGAGGCATGAGGCCAGCCTGTTGGACCTCCTGCTGTGGGGATCTCGGGGTCAAATGTCACCTTGTTAGCTAGGTGACAAAGGTGGATTTATTTTTTAAATGTCAACAAGCAGAACTTTGGTCTTTTTAAGGTTATTTTTAGTCTCCACCTTCAGGTCTCACTCCATCCCTTTAAAGCCCCTTTGTTAGCTGCCCTGCAGACCCCCGCAGGATGACGATGGATGAACATCTGACTGGACAGCAGGAGGTCTTACAGTCACTGGCGGATCCTCATAATGTCTCTTCTAAACACTCGACAACATCACTGATAACTAAAGCAGAACAAACGTGATTAGTGACAGTAAAAATATATAACTGCAGAAAATCATTTTAATCTACTTTTCTAGTGTGAAGAAAGGGTCAGATTTAAATAATATATATGTATATGTACACATGTAAAATAAAATGCCGAATCTATTTCAAAGAGTTTTGAACAGTAAAATAATTCCTTATTGCAAAGCTTATTTTTCTTAAATTCAGAGCAGCAATAATAATTATGGCTTTATGTAAAGAGGGCTACGGAAGAGGATTAAGGCAATATAAATTGAGAAAAAATAATATATACATTATTTTATTAATTTTAATATAATATTTCTTAATACAAATCTCAGAATTCTGACCTTTTACTCAGAATTTGTTTTCCATTTTTGGTCAGATCTCAGAAATAATTTCACATGTGGCCCTAATCCTCATCTGTAGATGGCTGTGTCCTTTTATCTGCATCATGCATATCGGTTTATTTAAAACCATAACTCTGTCTTAATTTGCGCACACTGCAGATGATAATGAATGTTTAAGGTATCATGGGGTAGGAATTCTGTCTTTTATATAATAACTATGTATATATGACAAAAATGTTTCAAAAAGACCCAAATTGATTGTTCCTGTTGGTAAAGAATGATGAATAATAATAATGAGGATGATGAGTGTGATGAAGCATACTGATTGTGACGACTGCTCGGCGAAGTGAAACCATTACACCTGTTGAAGTGCGCACAGATCTTATTTATGTATATTTATGATACAGATGAAAAGACAACAGCACAAACTTTGCCTATGCTAAGTTATGCTGCATAAAATAATATTTTCTAAATATGTTTTCTTTAATATCTTCTATTTTGGAATTTTAAATGCAAATGCAAACGTATTTGTAAATAAATGTCTGTATATTTCTGAAGTCAGTCTGTCTTGTCCTTTTTGTTTGATCTCTTTTAGTTATACATTTATTGTCAGGGTTGAGTGAAGCAACGTCCCAAACACAGGGGGCACAGCGGAGGAGTTGGCAGGACCCCCGGCAGAACAGTAGTCGGCGGGGCCTCCAACGGCACAGGACATAGGGTTGGCAGGACCCCCGGCAGAAGAGTAGTCGGCGGGGCCTCCAACGGCACAGGACATAGGGTTGGCAGGACCCCCGGCAGAAGAGTAGTCGGCGGGACCCCCAACAGGATAGGACATAGGGTTGGTAGGACCCCCGGCAGAACAGTAGTCGGCGGGGCCTCCAACGGCACAGGACATAGGGTTGGCAGGACCCCCGGCAGAAGAGTAGTCGGCGGGGCCTCCAACGGCACAGGACATAGGGTTGGCAGGACCCCCGGCAGAAGAGTAGTCGGCGGGACCTCCAACGGCACAGGACATAGGATTGGCAGGAAACCGGCAGAAGAGTAGTGGGCGTGACTTCCAACGGCACAGGACATAGGCTAGGGAATTGAGTAGGGACTTGAGAAGGGACTTGAGTAGGGACTGGAGAGGGGACTTGAGATGGAACTCGAGAAGAGACTCGAGAGGGGACTCAAGAGGGGACTCGAGAAAAGGCTTGAGAGGGGACTCGAGAGGTGACTCGAAAGGAGACTCAAGAGGTGACTCGAAAGGAGACTCGAGAGGGAACTCGAGGGAACTGGAGGGGTGACTTGAGAGGGGACTCGAGAGGAGACTTGAGAGGGAACTCGAGAGGTGACTCGAGAGGGGACTCGAAAGGTGACTTGAGAGGGGACTCGAAAGGGAACTCGAGAGGTGACTTGAGCAAGGACTCGAGAGGTAACTTGAGCGGGGACTCGAGGGGGAACTTGAGAGGGGACTCGATTGGGGACTCAAGAAGAGACTCGAGAGGGGACTCGAGATGGTCGGTTCGCCAACAGAACACGGGGGGCTGGCATCGGCCGGTACGCCGACAGGACACGGGGGGCTGGCTTCGGCCGGAGATCCAACAGGAGACGAGGGGCTGGAGTCGGCCGGTACGCCGACAGGACACGAGGAGCTGGCGTCGGCCGGAGAGCCAGTACTGGAGCC